TAAATGACTTTCTCTCTTCTTCTCTTTCAAATGGCTACACATTTTTGACTGACCCCTCTTTACTTTACTTAGTGAGACTCACAATAAGCTTTAACATTAAGCCTTTCTCCGTATAGGGAGTTGAAATCTAACATAGGCCATATTTAATGCTCAATTGTGCCTCCAATGGGATGATACTCATGAGCAATAAAATAAAATAGGCACTCCCCTGTTAAAAAATATTAAGTATTTTTTAAGGGGTTGGATGTTAAAATATAAGGCATTTTTAGTCTTTCAAGGTGTAATTATTGTCTTTTTTTCTAAAATTATCCCTATTGAATAAATCACTCTATATTTATTTTAGGATAAAATACTCTATTAAATAGGGATAACTATGAAAAGATAAAGTTAGTTTAAATACAAGTAACTATTTTATTGAGATGAGATTCAGTTAAAAATTCCTTCCATTTTTTAATAGAGGGAGTAATAATTTGTTTTATTGTTACACAAATTATTTTAAAATATGATATCATGTGCATAAAAAAAATATAAATATCTTTTTATTTGTGGTCCCTATATAAATTAAAATTTAAACAACATATTCTAGTTAAAAAGTTATTACTTGTAAATATAAATAACTACTTTTGGTGAAAAATATGTATAAATAACCACTTATTTTTTAAGGATTTTTTATAATGGTGTGCATGAAAAATGTAAATAACACTTTTTATACAGTTATCTAACTAATTTAAATTCGAGCATTATTTAGCACAAAAACATCTTAATCCAAATTTTCAATTTCATACATAATTATTAAAAATTAATCAATTTTTTAAGTTGTGTGGGAATAAGTTGATTGATTTAAATAATAAAATATTTTATTTATAAATTATTATTTAAATTGTTATGTTAGATACAATTAATTGTCTTATACATATACAAAATACAAACAATAAATGATAAGTTTCTTACATTTACAAAAAATGTTAGATCTCATATGTATTTTTATTATAAGTCTCATATCTATAAGCAGTTTTATTATGAGTGCCACCCCTTTTTTTTAAAAAAATTTGTTTTGGGTCTCATGTGAAATTTTAATATGCAAGTACTATTTTAAAAAATAAAAAGTCATGGTACTGTTTGTCCAACTGTAAATAAATAGGGCCATATGTTGCACTTTACAAATATATAAATTTTTTACATTATTTAAATAAAGAATTTTAAATATATAAATTTTAAATATAAATTCTAAATTTTAAATGTAAATTCAAATATATCACTCCAAACTCAACCTAAAATTTATTTTGTATATCAAGCATAGTCTCGGAGATCATGTATAAATTTAATTTCATTTTATGATAGAAAATTTCAAAATTCCAATAAAGGGCCGAAAGTATTTGACAGTGGGATGCAATTGCGTAAACTTAATTACCTTTATATCCAAAATATGAAAAACCAATTGCAAATTATTTTATATAAGCAATATTCAGTAATAAATTGAAAGAATGAGTGGCAATTCTTTGCAATAGATACCTCTAAAATTTCACACGAGACTTTATGAAATTTGATGCTGATATGAGAAAAATTGTGGGGATAATGACAGTGAGATCCTAAAAATAATAAATTAATATCCGTTAAGTCCCTGATAAAATTTTTTTATAAAATAAATTATAAATATCAATTTAAACAGTTACAAATAAAAATTTCTATTACAATCTAAAAGTTACATTGAATATTTAAATGTTTATTTGTAATTTAAACTTATGAATTTGTAATAATTTGGTTTGATATTTTCAACTTACTTTTCAAAAAGAAATTATCAAATATTTAATTGATATTAACTCACTGTTTTAAAACCTAACTATCATTCTTTTAAAATTGTAATTAATGTTTCAATTTTTAAGATGAACAATTGAAAAAAAAAAAAAATTTTAACTAATACATTTAACACTAATATACTCACTTCATATTCATTCATAATTTATAATTATAATTTATTTACATTTTCAAAAATGACACGCTACCAAAGTGGAATCACAATCACGGTGGGAGGCCCGGATGATGCAGAAGTTAGGTGACACTTCTGTGAGCAGTGTTTCCAGACTGCTCACCAAACTGTGATGCTTATTAAGTCCTCTGCCTTTGAATCTAATTTCTCGTGCTTCCAGCTACCCCTTCTAGGGCCGAATTTATTAAGGATTTTTTGAGGCGCATTCGCTTTTGCTCATTAAAATTATATATACTATTGATATTCATAATAAATATTATTTTTTTCATTTAAAAATAAAAATATTTTTAATTAAATTTCACACTTCAATAAAATAATTACCTACTTAATTTTATCTTTTTATATTTAATTATATTAAATATTCTATAATAAATATAAAGTCATTCATTAATAGGAGGATTTTTAAAAAAGACAATGATTACATTTAAAAATTAAAATATGCTATATTTTTAACATTTATTTTCTCAAAAATATCTTACATTTTTAAATGAAGAGAATAATTAATATTAATATAACTAATCCCTCCCATATACTGTATAAATTTTTTAAAAATAAAATCATATTTATGATTCATTTCTTAAAATTTTATATATCATATGCACATTATAACTAAAGGTGGATGGGGGAGAGACCAACAGTAGCAACGGTGTCAGCTCCCCAAATTTTTAAGTTTTTTAATATAATATATTCCTTCGTTAAAGAATATGATATATTTTTAATTGAAGTATGTCCCTAACAAGTTAGTTAATTATTTTTCAATCAATATTATATTTTATATTTGCTATTATTTAATAAGATGTTTTACCTTAAGATGAATGGTTGAATTTTGAAAAATATTAATTATACATTAAAAAATTAAAAATGCTTTATATTTTTTAATATCTAATCCTTCAAATAAATGTTATATTTTTAAATGCAGGGATTAGATGTTATATACTTTTAACTTTTTAATAGTTATAAAAGTTTTGTAGGAAATATTTTTTGTAATCTTAATCCTCTCATAGTTAAATCTTGAATTCGTCTAATGTATAAATATTGACTTTTTTGGGTCCAAAAATGCTGATTAGTAATTACCCCAATATATCTATGTTTATGAAAAAACAAGAACGATATATGTATTAAAAAAACACACACAAGGAGTGATATAAAGAGTGAACATGTAGTTGACCTAGAGGTCACTTTCTGCTTCTTCTTATCCTATCTTAATTTAGTTTTTTATTTTAAAAACATTTCATGCATTTTTTAACTTTTACACATTATAGAATTTTAATTTCAAAATATCTAAGAATCTATCAAAACTACCCAAAAAAATAAAATTGAATATGGTGAATTCTGAATAGTGAGTTGTCGTTGTTTAAATAAAAAATCAATAATATAAGGCCGTTATCGGCTAATCGCTCAACCCTCCAGATCCGAAACTTGTAATCTACCAAAGTAACCCTTTCAGATCAAACGGTGGCTAATCGGCGAGGTTTCAAGGATCTTTGACCTTTTGAAACCCTTTTTCAACCAACCTATAGTCCTCATCCGCTATTGGACAAGAATCATAGATCCACGCTTCCCTCGCCCCCACAATCTTCTCTACTCCCTCTTACCTCCAATTATCCATGGCACCTTCTTTCGTACCTAACGGAGGCTTCGCCGCCGGCAAAGCTGCACCTACCTCTGTCACCGGACGACTCACCTCCGTCTACAGTGACGTCCAAAACAGCCGTATCGACTGCGAACTCCCTCTTCCTTCGGTTCTCGAAAGGCCTTTCAAAATTGTTGCCGGTCCGGGGAGCTCTGCTGCTGGAAATCCTGGTCAGTCTCTACTCCTCGTGCTTCGTTTGGATCAATTTTCACTTCTGGTTGATCTATTTTTTCTACATACATTGTTCGATTAAATGCCATTTTTGTAGGAGAGCTTGGTTTCTTTCTGACAGCGTAATGCTTGTCTCAGATCACGTTTACTTCCTTTTTACCTTCGACGACGGTTGTATTGAAAAAAGAAACTTAAGATTTGGATTCTATGTCGAGGTTTATTCCTAAATACTGGTGATGGACGTGTTGTTATTTCTGCAGATGAGATTGCGAAGCTATTTCCACACTTGTTTGGCCAACCTTCCGCAATGTTGGTGCCGAGCGAAACAGAGGCTCTGCCGTCGGATCAGAAGTTGAAGATTGGTGTGGTTTTGTCTGGAGGTCAAGCACCTGGAGGTCACAATGTCATTTCTGGAATTTTTGGTATGCACCATTTTGAGTTAGATTAAATGAATATTGTATCTATTGGGCACATATTTGTGCCACGTAGCCAAGTGACTGATTTATTTTCCTCTTTGTTTAAGATTACCTGCAAAATCGCGTAAAAGGGAGCATATTATATGGTTTCAGGGGAGGTCCTGCCGGCATCATGAAGTGCAAATACGTTGAACTGAATTCAGATTATATTTATCCTTACAGAAACCAGGTTCGTTTATTCTTTTGCACTCATATGATTTTGTTACACAGATGTGCTTCAAAGTTGTTATAATTTAGTTGGGAAGGACAGGCTTTTGTGTGTGGTTTCTTCTTATTGTTTCCTTCCTAGTTAGTCGAATCTTTGAACTTAACATGTTTCCCCATTACATTGCAAGTCTCCTACCGTTAAAGCCCAACTTCATTTCTTTCAACACTTTACCGGTGATTGGCTCCAAAGCTTCAATGTTAACTTTTCATGGCCATTCTGTTTGTAGTTTGTGCATCTTGATTTCTGCTGTTCTAAAGGTGATGCACTTGGCATGCCTGCGAATGCTGGCCCATTCATTAATATGTTAGAGTCTGCGTCTATTATTACTCTCTTTAGTCTGATGTTAACAAGGTTTGACATCTAACATGCATCATATTTGTTGGCAGGGTGGCTTTGACATGATCTGCAGTGGAAGGGACAAAATTGAAACACCGGAGCAGGTGTGATCATAAGTTTGCTATATGTTTGTTTACACGAGCTCTCTCTCTGTCTCTTTTTCTGTTAAATGTCTGGAGTTTTTTAATTGGCATGCATAGTTTAAACAAGCTGAAGAAACAGCTCGGAAGCTAGACTTGGATGGACTTGTGGTTATCGGCGGAGATGACTCCAACACAAATGCATGCCTCCTTGCTGAGAACTTCAGGTTTGTTTTAATGGACTTACATCTTTGCCATGATCTTTTGCTATGAAGCGTTGTTGATACAGAAATATTTGCAACTTAAGGTGTTGATGTTCATTTCAACCCCAAGGTCCTCTTGGCTGCCAATGTATTGTTTTAATCATTTGGCACATGCATACAAGAGGAGAAGCAAAAATTCATTTATTACTATACAAATGTTCATGCTTGCTTAATCTGAATTAATGCAGGAGCAAAAATATGAAAACACGAGTGATTGGATGCCCTAAAACTATTGATGGTGATTTGAAATGCAAAGAAGTCCCTACAAGTTTTGGGTTTGATACTGCCTGCAAGGTCAATGATGCTATGCATTCTGCCTTATCTGTGGATTTTAATTTATGTAGTGAAACAACATATATATTTATTCTCATCACACATTCTGGTGATTTATCCATGTTCTATTTCCTGGAAATGCAATTTTTCCATTCGTCCATGTAATTGGTGCTAAATTATGATTGATGCATGGGCACAGAACCAGGCTTTTTTTTTTTTTTTTTGAGATGGTAATGGTAATGGTATTTTTTTTTTTTTTTTGCAGATATATGCTGAAATGATTGGAAATGTTATGATTGATGCACGATCAACTGGAAAATATTACCATTGTAAGTATATGCATATGGAAAGTATTTAGTGCTCAAAATAATTAGAGATTGGTGACTTTACAGGGTTGCAGTGATCAATATTGAATGAATCGCCTTGGATTTTTATTGCTTAGTGCCTTGGTCATGCTTTCCATTTTACATTAAAACGTTTAACCTTCCAAACATTTAGTGCTCAAGTTCTATTCAAGAATCCACAGATGTAAAATCATATGTTAAATTTCATGTATTTCGAGGTTGTAATAATGCAATTACATCATTCAAGATGACAACTGTGCTCCAATTCTTGAAGGGACTTTAATAATGAGATATGTCATTTTACTTTGCTACAAGTTGCTCATGCTGCCCATCAGGCATTGAAACATACCTTTAATATGAATAATTCACATTTTTCAAAATCTTTTGTTACGTGAGAATTCTACCTCTAGTTTTGTTGATTTTGTTAAAGGAAAAATGTAATTACCCTCCTTCAACCATGACACATATGCAAATAACCACAAATTTATATAACATAAACCTGCTGATGCCCTCTTCAGCTATCACCCATGATCCATTTGCGAATGCCCCCTAATTTATAAAAGCCAAGCTAATACCCTCTTCAACAATGATTTTTTGTAAATACTCATTCGAATTATAAAAATGGATAAATATCCGTTGCACTTACATATTTTTGATTTAAATACAATTGCTCATTCTTGGTTTACAAAATTTTCACGTTAGACTTACACTGATACCTGGTGTCGTCCTGTTGGCTTGGAAAGAGCACATGAACAAATTGTTTATGAACATAAATATCCAAACTCCAATCTAGATTGCGACTTCAACCTCCATCCTATTGAATTTTTATTTCTTTTCCAAATTAACTTTCCACAGTTTGTTTATAAGCCAGGATTGTCCCAGGTCATCAGTAGAGTTGGATGTATGGACTTTATGAACTCACCTAACCCAAAGTGTACTAATGGATTTAAATGCAAACATGTAAAGTGTGAGGGGGCATTTGCAAATGGTCTTTGTTCAAGATGGGTATTTTCATTTAACCTTACTAACAGTCAAACCTTAGTGTCGTGTAAAGGGACATTTTCTTTTATTGTCCTTTATTTAGAGATTGAAATTATTTGCATACCATTTATGCCTTGAAGATTATTGATGCAAATTGATACTTTAGTTCTTATAGGTGGCCTATTTTCGCTCACTATCTAGATAGTCCATGACATGCCCCAAATGAACAGATTGTTGTGCTTCCATTGCAAATATTAGGTGTCAATTTCAATTTTTTCAGCAGTTCTTAATTTCTCCATCTGCTCATCATCTGATTGGTTTCTGGATATTGAGTAACATGTTTACACATTTGTATGTATGCAGTTGTACGACTCATGGGGCGTGCAGCTTCACACATTACCCTAGAATGTGCTTTGCAAACTCATCCAAACATTACTATTATTGGAGAAGAGGTTTGTCATAAATCTGATCTTTTTGTGGTATTTGCACGTTGTGGATTGATAAAATAAATTTAAGAAGCTTCTATTTTGATCTTGTGATTTTAGTTTCCCACTGGCACGGCACTGCAGGATTATTGCTTCATAAATTTCAAGTGATTTTGGTTGCATTCGAATTGTTGTGAAGCCTTTGAAAGCAAATTCATGCTTATATTATGTGCTTAAATTAACCCAGGAAACAAAATTGAATGAAGACATAATGGCAATATTTCCCTGCTTGTGGGTGCAAATATTCATTTCCATCCATCTGTGTAGTGTGTACAATGATACAGCAGTATGGAAAGGCTGAGGAAATACCTGGTGAAAGCTTAAGTAACTAGTACTTTCAAAACACTCATCACTTTCTCACACCCAACACCCTACTGACCCACACTCCTCTTGAAAAATACATGCTTTTATGATTTTCCTGCTAAGATTAGTGTTGATGATTGCCCTCATGTCTCTATTACATTAAATTGACCTGGAAATATCTTATTGCAGGTTGCTGCCAAGAAGCTGACTCTGAAAAATGTTACAGATTACATTGTAGATGTTATTTGTAAACGAGCTAAAGTTAATTATAATTATGGTGTCATTTTAATCCCTGAAGGCCTAATCGATTTCATTCCTGAGGTATCTATCACTTTGAGTAGAAAAAATTCAATCTGATTCCCCTTTATTTCTTATCTGTGATCCTGTACAATCAGTACAGAAATACATTGGCTGATAAGCATTTGTGTACGTAATTGTGCCTTATGCAGGTCCAGCAGCTTATTGCAGAATTAAATGAAATCCTGGCTCATGATATTGTTGATGAGGACGGATTATGGAAGAAGAAACTTACTGATCAGTCATTAAAGCTTTTTGAATTTTTACCCCGAGCAATTCAAGAACAATTGATGCTTGAAAGAGATCCACATGGAAATGTTCAGGTTCTTTATGGTGCTATAGTGCTATTCTTGTTTCAATTATTTTGCTCCCATATGCAATTTGACTTAAAATGATGCTTATGCTAACTTATTCTCATATAGGTTGCCAAAATAGAGACAGAGAAAATGCTGATTCAAATGGTTGAAACAGAGTTGGAGAAGAGAAAGCAAGAAGGCTCATACAAGGGTGAATTCAAAGGGCAGTCACACTTTTTCGGGTACTTTTACGTAATATGATATTGTTATTTGGCGTTGTCCTTTTGAATTTGATATATAAAGCCATGATGCAAGATAAATACTTTGTCATATCGTACAGCTATGAGGGGAGATGTGGTTTGCCAACTAACTTTGATGCCATGTACTGCTATGCCCTGGGTTATGGTGCTGGAGCCCTCCTTCACGATGGGAAAACTGGATTAATATCATCGGTTCGTGCTTATCCTTATGCGCTTACCTTATTTGATTATCAACTTCCGAATGTCATCTTGGTTCGATGTTGATAGTTAATTCCGTTTTGTAATTGTGTTAGTCCGGTCATGTTGGTGTCTCCTGAATCCTTTGATTTTCTCTGATTTTTTATCAGGTTGGCAATTTGAGTGCTCCAGTTGAAGAATGGACCGTTGGTGGAACTGCACTGACCTCGATGATGGATGTTGAAAGGAGACATGGTACATATAAATATCCTTATGAACTTTTCTTTTCCTTCCAATGGCTACTACCTGAACGACCATGCATGAAACAATTTTTCGTTCCCATTTTGTCGCAAAACTCAGATCCATGTTCCATTGTTATTCTCAAATGTGTTGGGACCTCGAGTTGACAGTAAAATGCATATAAAAGTAGTAATACTGTCAGCTTTATGTATGTTTTGGTGGGCTGTGTGGTGAATTTTTGTTAAACTGTCGATGCTTTCTTTCCGGTTTATTGATGTTTAATTTTCCTTACAGGAAAGTTCAAGCCTGTGATTAAGAAGGCAATGGTGGAACTAGAAGGTATGATATTCACTTGAACTTCAATATTCTAGGTTCGAATAAAGGCTCCACTTGGTGACTGAGGATAGAGCAATGGGTAAAATAGCATGTGAGCTTCATTTATTTTTCACCTGCGTGGAAGGAGATAATGAAATTTAAGATAGTAATATTTACTTCTAATTGCTCCATGTAGTATCCAAAAAAATAAAAACACATGGAGCCTGTTTGTTTTCTTTTTTAAAAAACTCTTTTTTGTTTTTGAAAATAGAAAATCTTTAAAATTTATTTGGACAAGTGTTTTTCATTTAATTGTTTTCAAACTGTTTTCATTTTTTGTTTTTAAAAACAATTTTTTTTTATTTTTAAAATACACTACATTTGATTATTGAAAATTATAATTAGTTTGACCAATTTTTATTATTAATACCACCATTAACTGCTTATAACTATCACTATTAGTCCATTTTTTAATTTTAAAACTGTATTTTAATTGACATAACCAAATAGATTTTCATTTTATTTTTTTCAACAATTTTAAAAACTGTTTTACAAAACAATTTTTACAAACAAAAAATGAAATAAAAACCAAACAGGCTCATGATCTCCCATGTTTGAAATTTGATTTGGGCCTAGCATTGAAGATTTATTGGGTTATCAAATGATAATTTTGAATCAGAGTTTTAGACTTTTGTTCATCCTTCGCAGTAATAATATCTTGGTGCATGCTGCGTTGACTAAGTATATCTACTATAGGACCCATTAAAAACTTAATAATAGATGGATCTAAAATTCCAAATTGGAAGTCTCTGTGCTTCAACTTCAACTTGGATACGGGATCTGCAATTGAAATACTATTAATGATTTCTGATACTTTAAAATACTGAATGACTGCATTTCCCGTAAAATTTTCCAGGGGCACCCTTCAAAAAGTTTGCCTCCTTGAGGGATGAATGGGCCTTGAATAATCGCTACATCAGTCCAGGTACATGCTTACTTGTTGCTGCTTCTTCTGGCTTCTTCCAATCACGTTCTTGGCTTCAATGTTCACCCCATTAACATTGAATAGATTGAGAATAAATTAGATATAAGTCTTCTTCGTTTATCTTGAACTGTTGGCTCTCTGGAACCAAAGGACAAACGCTCATTGCTCATGATGGTCTTGGGTGCAGGTCCTATTCAATTCAAGGGCCCAGGTGCAGATGCTGCTAATCACACCCTGCTCTTGGAGCTTGGTGCTCGATGCTAGGGATATTATGAGGCTTTTGTTTTGTTGGTGGCAGTTTATTTTATTTGAAGGCGCTGCAATTGCAAATAAAACTGATGAGGGTTGGTTAGAGCTTATTTTTGTTTGGACTTTTTTGTGAACTTCTAGCGGATGATGGTTTCGCAAGTTGTTTGACTTGCATTGGTTGGCAACTCGTGTTACACTAGCGTTCGGTAAAATTTCATCTCCATTTCTTTTTTTCATTTTTTAGTTTCCCACCTGATATCCTGGAGAGTATAGATATTTTGGGGTTCGCTATTTGCCCACCCCATTCCAAATTAATCTGGATCCTTGTGTAGCTTGAGCTCTTAATGTGGTGGTTTTGTGGATATCACTGACGAGACACACTTTGTGTGTTTAGTTGTGTGTCTGCGTATCTTGAGACTCGAACACGAGACCTTAGACAAGCACCGTTCGTTTTGCATTTCCATATTGATCATCATAGTACATGTAGAGCCGAGCTTAAAGGTTCGTGTTTGGAGGCTTTGTTTAAATAAAAGTTCGGGATTTGAAAATGAATTTTTTAAAAGTAATCGAGTTTGAGAGCTTGGCCCTGATAAGTTTTATAAAAAAGGAATCAGGTTCGGGTTGCCCTTCAAGTCTTATTATATTATTATTATTATTATTTTGTGGAATATGTGTTTGAAGTCAATAATTTACTCACCTGATCTTACATGTATTATATTATTATTAATTTTAATTTATTTTAAAATTAATTTAATAAAAATCAGTGTATAGTATAAAATTTTTTATATTTTTTATTTTTTTATAGTTATTATGTTTGTGTATTTATAAAAAATAAATTATTTTTTAATTAAAATTTAAATTTTATTATTAGATTTTTAAATGTGTGTTATTTAATTTCTAAAACATTATGAGGATTTTAATTTTTTTAATTTTAAAATATTTTAATTAATTTATAATATTTAATGTTATTTTAATTTTTTTATTTTTTAAAAAAATGCTCGTAAGCCTGGCCTTCAGTTTAACTACTGGACTGGTAGTGGGTGGGGCCCCTCTCCAAAGGACCCAATGCATAAACTTGGGACTTGCTCCATTGAATTTTCTGTGCTGGAGATTTGGACGCTGTAAAAGTATTGACTTAAAATTAAGGAAAAATAAACCATTTGATCATCATAGTTTAATTTAATTATAATTTAATTTTTTAATTTTAATTTGTTATAACTTAATTTTTAAATTTTTAACTCAGTTATAAATTAATTCTTTAACTTTGTCTCTTGTAATTTAATTCTTGAAATTTTAATCTTTTAAATATTAATCTTTATATTTAAAAAAATAAAATTATAAAGATTAAAATATTTTAAAATTTTAATATTTATAAAAATTAAAAGAGTTTAACAATTTAAAATATTTTGAATTTTTATAATTTTATTTTTTCAAATATAATGATTAATATTTGAGATGTTTAAACTTCAGGATTGATTTACAATCAAGTCAAAATTTTAAGGACTAAGTTATAATGAGTTAAAATTCAAGAATTAAATTATAATAAGTCAAAGTTTAAAGATTGAATTACAACAAAGTCAAAAATATAAGAATCAAATGATTTTTAAAAAAAATTAATTACTCTTCATCATGTATATAAATCTCTTGTAACTATTTTTACTTGAAATTATAGAAAAATAGTTAAATTATTTATATTTTCTTTTTTAAAAAGGAATTTTTTTTATTTACTTTTGTTAGACGTATTATTTTTAAAAATATTTTTAATCATATATAATTTCTTTCTTTATTCATAGAAAATTGTAAAAAATAGAAAATTGAAACAAAATATTTAAAATATTTTTATTTTGGATTCATAAGAAGTATTATCAATTTTTTTAAAATGGTTTATTCATGAAAGCAGAAAAATTATGTAAGGAGAATCACGTCCAAGAATTTGATGAGAAATTCATTCAATGCTAATATATGTAAATATAAAATGGGTTTCTGTTAAAATGATTTTTTTAAAAATAAGATTTGTTATTAATTCTGATTAGTGAATAAGTTTTTCATCATAGGATGCGATTCTTCCAATTACGAATAAAGCAACTTTTTTCATATTCAAACTTAGAAGCGTTGTTCTCCGAAGGAGGAACCGCCTGTGGAAGAGGGCTGCCTCTTCTCTGATTCACCCACCTGCTATCGTACTGCTATCGACGACTGAACTTTCATATATCCACTTTTATTTCGCCTATTCAGCCTTTATCATTTACGTCAAGCACGTTTAATTTTTCCGGAATCAACAGTGCCAAGATAAAATATCTTTTCCAACAAAGTTGATGAAGCAACAGAACATGGCTTTGGCCATAAATATTGATTTATACTTTAGGGGGGTATCTTTTTTTTCCGTATGCTAATAATACATTTAATCGCAGTTTATTTTATCACAATCACGATTTGATACTCCCACCCCGAAAAAAAACAATTTCACGGTTTAATACTAAACTGTAAATTAGTGTCCCAATCAGTTAAATGATTGATACCTTGAAACAATACGTTTTAATTAGCGTTTCGTGTTACCAAAAGAACTATAAGAATGTAGCATCCCTAAATTTTAATCTTTGTTAACTGTCATAAAGTACTTATTGGACATAATGTCAAATATTATGAGAACCTTGGACATCATACTTTGATTCGGAACCAAAAAGGGGATTCACTTTAGTCTTGAAGACATGGGATTCCTTTCTTTTTGGCTGGAGACAATTAAAAGGGGGGGGGGGGGGGAGATGGTTTTTGTGTGCAAAAGCTTCCTTCTCGATAACATCTCAACTACTTCTTGCATTTTGCCTTTTCAACTGTTCCTGGCCATGCTATGAAACAGAGCATGTGCATCAAGCCGTCAACATCTCCCACCATTAATATCTACATCTACAATTAAGCTATTCAAGGAAAAAAAAATTAAAAAAAGCCAATTTTCAAAAAGAGAAATGATAGATTCATTTCATATGTGAAGAAGAGCACAGGGATTAGAGTAAAAACAAAAGTGGTTATAGCTTATGATTGAGTTGATGACTGTAGCAAATTAATGTTGTATCAGTTTCTGAAAGTGAAAGGGCTTGAGTGTATGTTTCACTCCCAACCAAATTGTAAAATCCCAAAAGGGAATGTTACCTTTTTTGTTTTTGCTTTTGCCCTTAACTCCATGTTTCTTCTCTCTGGAGGGTTTCTTGCATAATGATTTACGGGACATTTCTTTCAAGAATCAATCAACAATAACATTATACATCTTGTTCTCATTCGAGCTTGTTTGTTTGATTTATGTCATGTGATATTCTCTTCCTTCTTGATGTTATAGCTAATCATGTTACTGTACTGCCGATCAAAACGCGAATATCTCCACATTTTAAAACATGGTAATGACAATTAAACCATTAAATATCAATTTGATATTAATCCAAGTTTCAAAAAGTTTTCCTGAAAGATAATATGCAAATATATATTTAAGCAATTGCTTATTTAGACTAGTGACTTGCAACTAAGACTCTTATATTTTATAATTATCTAATTTGGTATTTGAAACTTATCTTTTAATTTTTTTGAAAAAAAATTAACTATCATTAAATTGATCTTTTGGATCTACCCACCATTCTACTTTTTTAAATAAATAAATAAATGTTAAATTGTTGGTGACATGAAGGACTAAAGAAGCATCAGAGGTCAATGTCTTAATAATAGATGGTGGCTAAATTGACATATGTGAGCTATTGTCCAAGCCAACAGTGTTTCTTTTCTCTCTTTTTTTTCTTTTTTAATTATTTTCTTTGGATCCTTCTTCTTGTTTCTTGGCTATGCTGTTTATGACCTTTTTCAAGCTCTATTGACATCTTCCCTCATGAATCATTCTAGTTCGAGGTCCTCCATGAGCTGTTCCTAGATTTAAAAGCACATGACAATAATTTTTATTTTCATTGTAGTTTTATGTTAATAATCAAATGTTTCTTGTGATTTATTTCAAATCATTTGATCCTTTATTTTATTTTTTTTTCTTACTTGGATTGTGACGGAAATGAATTCACGTATGTAAAAACAATTTATAATATTCAGATTAATGATGAGATATAATTTTAAGTGGATAAAATCTAAATGCATTTTTTATATTTAATTTTTACATTAATTTTTTGATTTAAAACTTATTTTTTTAATAACGTTGAACTTTATATTATCTTCTTTTATACGTAAAGTTTATACCTTTAAATTATAACTTTAACCCAATTCAATCACTTTGAGGTTTGAACTTGCTCTCTATCAAAATCATCACTTTATTTTCAAAAGATAAAGAAAAAATGAAAGTTAGGTTAAAAAAAAAAAAGTTTACTGAGTTGATATTTGTCAACGCATGTGGCGACAAAAGCTCTGATTGGCAAACGGCACACCCCACAACTACAAAGCTCCAATCCCACAGGATAAAAGCGAAGGGGTGTCAAAATCTCTGAAACTTCATCGAAGCACACTAAGAAATATAATCAGAAACATTTTCCGTATTTTTTCTTAAATAATTAGATATACTTAATTAACTTTTTTTAAAAATTAATGATTTGATTATTCATATACTTTTAACTCAATTATAACTTAATTTTTAAATTTTAACTCAATACAATTTAGATATATAATTTTGAATTAGTTAAAACTTAATTAGCCTCAAAATTTTGACTTGGTGCATTCAATCCCTATATTTTTAACAACTTAAAATGTTAGTCTTTATATTTTAGAAGATAAAATTATAAGGAGTAAAATGATGCTTTGAAGCTTAATTTAGAATTAATGTTTGAAATAGTTGAACTTATAGGAACTGATTTGTATTAAATCAAAATTTAAAAAATGGGTTGCAACTTATTCAAACTATAAGGATTAAAGTATATCGAGTTAATATTTAAGAATTAAGTTACGATCAAATCAAAACTATAAAAATTAAATGATTAATTTTTTTAATTTTATATATGTGAAAGTATCACTCTTGTCTATGAAGTGGTAGTTGTTTTTCTATGTTATATATATATATACATATATATATATATATATATTCATGAAACTCCTATGAGTATAAAATAAGTAATAGATTCAAAGAACTTAAAACCGAAAGTTTAGGCACTAGATTATGGCTGATTTGCTCACAAAAGAGTCCATCATTATATCATAATCACTTTGATTGGCACCTCATTGAGGGGTGGGAGGGAAACACGAGGGAAAGTAATAGGAACTTTGGAGTCAATACATATAACATATAATTGTAATTTAATCTATAAACAAACATTGCTTTCCATTACATGATTAAGCATATCCTTAGTTTGAAGTTGTACATACACATTAAT